TTTGACCATCTTATTTCCCACCCGTGGACAGCTTTCTGCAGACTGTTCACGCATCAGGAATTATCGATTTTCCCACCTACTCTTTATTCATTCTTTATTTTCACCAAATTTGATTTGGATTCTTATGCAAACCACATTTAGTGGTATGCGGCGCTTGGTAAGAGGCAGCTGATTATTGCGGGGTACAAAGCCAGATCTTTAATTTTGTGCATTTTGGGCACAGCTTCGGCCTTGGCCCGCCACGCTGGAGATAATTGTGGAAATCTACATATTGAGAGGGAGGTCGTCGTCGGGGTCTGTTTTTGGAGTGGGGCCTCTTGTTATCTGCTGTAATTCATGTGGTACGATGAATATTACCACTTGAATTATACGCTATTATGCTGCCTGGTGGAGGCCAGCGGAGTTACAGGAAATGATTATCATCGTGTCATGATAATGGAGCAATTACTAAAGGCTATCGCTGGTACGATATTGACCACCAGGCCGCGATCAGCGGTGGCTAGATGTGACAGTGGAATATTTATTAAGATGTAATTTACTCCTCCTCCCTGTTTCTACTGGACAGACTGTGGTGCAGCCGAAGAGGCCTGAAGGCTTTCTGCCTAAAACCCCCAAAACATACAAACTATGTCAATATATTAGTCGGTTACGTTCCATAATGACAAAAATCTTCATATAATTTCCACCCTCTACCTAATCTACCGTAGTTTACGCATACACACACACGCGGTTGTGTTAATAACAAATCATGAGGCTCTATAGTGCGCTGGCTTCCTCGGCTCGAAGAGACACTGACTAGGTTAAAGTAGGTGTTCTTCACCAACTGTTCCCTAATTGTTTGGTGCTCAGTGCAGCGAGCTGCTCGTAAACAGTAAATATTACACATACTGCAATGTAACCCGATAATATTATTATTGCGCTGTGCAAAGAATGCTTCTAAAAGCATTGGCGTGACTCACTTGTTTTACTCAGTAAAAACTCTCCATTTGGAAATGTGCTGTTGATGTGATCCAAATCCAATTCACAATATGGTCTTATTCCGAAGGATACAGGAATATGAGCGTACTTTTTAACTTAGTCATAGATAGACACCCGAGGGCTTCACCATTCACGCACAAACCGATGTCGCACTGTTCAGCGCCATTCACAAGGCTTTAATTTAATCTGTTTGCAGTATCTGGACCATCTAACCTGCATCATGGGTTTCCCATATCGCGACTTATAGCTAAGGTATGTCTGTGGACTGCGAGAAATAACTCAATGTTACATTTTGTGGATTCAAGGAAGCCTGAAAATGCAAGGAAGCACGCGTATTATAGGTTCAAAGTCCTAGATCCTTAGCGACAATAGCTGCTACCTCGAGGAAGATCGGTGCACCTCTCTGGATTACATGACAGGGGGATTTCAGAGATAAGACTCGTGGCAGACGGGAGCTGAATATTGCTAAAGTTGTGTGACAGCGGCAGAGATAAGACGTGCACTTGAAGGAGATGTGTCTCAAGGTGGATTTATTGTAGTCGGGCACTACAGAGGACGGCGCAGCGAGTGTCAGATCATCAGAGGCCGTTGGGTTGGATTGAAGATCAGGTGATGGCTCCTCACCAGGCGACTCCTTTGTCCAAGACTCACACACATCTGCATGTACAAGAGAGCCGGCGCGTGGAAGTCACTGCTCGTGTTCTGTGAAGGGGTGTTTTGTGAAACTCGATTTTCAAATCGCATAAAAAAAATCCTCACCAACCTCCTTCCGCATTCCAGCCCGCCTTTTAATGCCATTGGGCCCGAGTCTACTGCTGCCTCCCTGCTAATGAGAACCAGCACCATATAAACCCACCAACGCACACGTGCCTCTGATCTCAGACCAGTAAACGTAGTCACTGCGGCCAGATCCCACCACTTCACGGCTGCAGGCTCCGCCACACGGCCCCGTGTTATCATAACCTTTCATGTAAAAAGAAAGGAGAAGGAGCCGGCAACGTAGGTGCATATGGCACCTTGGGGACCGTTAACTATGTAGAACACACATATATATTGTGATCTAATAATGGGGAAATGTCCACCAGCTGTGGGACGGTGTGAATCCATATCCATACTGTGTGTATTGTATGGAAGCGGTGTGTGTATTGGTGGTCTCGGCAGGGATCCCGGGGGGGTTCCAGATCGATGTATCTGTGACGTTTATCGCTGCGTGGCTTCGCAAACTGCTCCTTTGGGGTTTTGTGGGGTTATTTAAATGGTTTAAATTAGCCTTTTTCCATTTAATCTATAATTTGGGAAATGCCAATGCTAAAACAAGTAAGATTAAAGTTAATTAATTAATTAAATGGAAAAAAAACTAAAAACTTCATATAGACGTTTATTTACTATTGACCAGACATGTACACACAAGTATTATCACAGTATCATGAAGAATTACGTTGGTATTATTACTCTATCAGTAGTTATTTCCTTGTGTTACCGATTTAATATTTATTTATATATTTATTATTCATATCAGTGAAAACAGGAACACATCCATGCAGGAAAAGAAATCAGCAACTATTTTGACGACAATCTGAAGATTCTCCGGTTGCAGCGTCTCAAAATGTGACGACATGCTGCTCGTCCTCGTCTTAGTGTGAAGACGTCTGTGGGGTTTCTGCCAAACGTCCCCCATTTCTACACGTTATGACGTGAGAGTTGGAGGTCCGGGATGCAGCGTGTCTCATGCTGTCGTCCTGCCTGCACGTCATCTTTCCAGGTATGAAAAGTTATTGACCTCTGCTCCTCGTGTCTCTTCTCTAACATCAAGTCGCCCACGCTGCCATTCTCATCTTTCCTCATAATAAAACCTCGTCCTGGATTTCACCCGCCTTCTCATTGTCTGTGCGTCAATCACATTCTAGTATATATTTGCCTTTCTAAGTGGCTTTTTAACGTTTTCCCCCTGAGCGCTATTCTCTCGTAAAAAAATGTATTTTCATTTATGTCTCAGCAGCTGTCTCGACACTCTGTCCTCCCACCCGCTATTTTCCTTCCTAATTTAGCTGTTTACTTTCTTTTTTTCTCTCTTTCATAGCTGAAATAACAATTGCGAGCTCTTTTTTTTTTTTTTCTTTTTCCCTCATCCATCCATTTCCGATGGCGACCTTTTTGCTGCTTTCCGTCCCGAGGCCTCCAGCAAGCCCTGTCCTCGGTCTCCATTTACTCGGAAGCTCTCAAAGGCTGGGCGGGGCGAACCGAATGAGGTTTTAACCGTCCGCTGCAACCACGACATCTCAGCGCAGATTAGTCCCGATGGCGGCTGGAGGGCGCGTGGAAGCGTAGTTGACGGGATTAAGTGGCTATTGAAGTGACTTTCTGCTCCTTTTTTAAGACAAGACAAAAGACCCATTCAGCCCACCCTCCCCTTATCTCAACAAAAGACAACCCCCCCTTCCTCCTTTTCTCCTGTCTTCCTTAGGAGGACACTAATTACAAATATGGTCCCTGGAAGGGCTTCTGATACCCGGTGAGAGTTTGCTGGTGGGAGAAGCTGCTCCTCGCTGTAATTGGATGCATCTCATCATCAACATCGAGCGGCTCATCAGGACCAGTTGTTTCGCCGGGCCAGATTGATGGAGCAGATGATTGAGACGTGTGCGCAACGATTGTGATTAACGGTGGGCGGATGAGGGCGGGCACGCCAGCCAAACTCGCTGCCTGTGCGTGTGCGCGTAGATGCGGCGGTGATCGTGGAAACTGCCGGTCGAGCCGCCGTTTTATTGTGTGCGGTAAATACCACTTTTATTTTCATGGACGCGAATAACTTGATGCCCGTATTTTGTGCCCCCCCGCAGCTCAGTTACCGTCCTCGGCTCCAACAAGAAGAAATAGTTTGGTTTGTATTAGTTTCTGAACTTTTCGGAGGTATCTGCCGAAGAGCAAAGACAGTAGAGCAAAGCACGGGAATGGAAGAAGTATAAAAGGCTTTACTCCGAGAGGGGATGTTTTAACACACTGAATTCAAAGGTTGAAGGTGAAACGTTTTCAGGCTGGTCCAGCGTTGGTAGCTACGCTCATGAGAAAGACTTTTAGATATCCCCACAAAATGATATAGACCGCCAAAGAGAAGCTGTCTGGGTGGATCCCACATCTAGAGGTCTTCCAGCCAGGAGACCACCGTTCATTCCACATCAACGTTGACTATTCATCAAGGAACTTCCGTACCTCTCTCACAGCTCTTCTGTAGTTGGTTTAACCTTATCAAGGATCTTTTGACCAAGTAGCTCATTTCTTGGTAAGACGGGAGTTTATTTTGCATCCAACAAACGGCCACAGGCGTGTTGCTGGCTTTCGAAATATATCATAAATAATCCTGTATGTGGAAGTTGCTGAAACTATATGGCTCAGAGAAGCTCTGAAGGCAACGTTGAATTACTGTGATACTCACACTCGACACGTTTAGAAATGCAGCAATTTGTTATGATGATGTTTAAAAGTGGTGTGCATGAAAGCGTCTACGGATAATACGGTTCTTCTCTCTCATGAATGTACAAAATGTGGCCTTTTTTTAAACGGGAGACTGTGACCGTTTGAATGACTCGGCACCTCACTCCCTCACTTCCTGCCCTGCCAGGATACTCGGCAGTGTGGCGGCATTAGCATATGAGTGGCTCGGCGTTTGGGTGAGTGTGTCTTCGACAGAGGCCGTCGAAAGCGCAGGTCAGCGTCTCTCTCACACACACTTCAATGGACGGCTGGAGGGCAAATGAAACGCTTTCTTATCTTTCCCTTTGGTCGGAAGGAAGCTTCTTCCTTTTTAGAATCCCCTCCCCCCCCCCGCTCATGATCAAAACACTGCAGACATATTATGAAGATGTATGCAGCGGCCACCTTTTGATTATTCTCCGCCCTTAGCCCCGCGCGGGGGGGCGCGGTGTGTTCCCGCGCGTCCGCGCACACGGTCCCGGCGTGAAACGCACCTGAACTTTATGCAAATGCCCGTGTGCTTGTGTGTGTCTTTCTCCCGGTGTTGACAGGGAGAGCGGTGGCCTCCTGCCCTCGGCCCGGTGGGCGCAAGCCGAAGCGCGACGCCCTCGCCATCGCTCGGCGGGCCCCTCGCCGCGCTACACGCCCCGCCGGGCGGTTCTCTACTGCCCCGGCAACGACGAGCGGAAGCTGAGGAAGCTGGCGTCGCTGGATGTCGACTGCGCCGTCCTGGACTGCGAGGACGGCGTGGCCCTGGGCAAAAAGGTACAATGCGCACATGTCAAAGATCTTTACCTGAGAGGGAGATGTTTGACATAAGCACGTTTGCCACTTATTGTCATGTGCATGAAAGATAGCGTTTCCCACCCCACCCCCATCAGTCCTTTTTAAAACAAGGTGACCACGTCCTGCAGGGCGAGCAGCAGGAAAGCACCAGATGCAGCAGGTTAAAAGCATTCCTCCCCCCCCCCCCCCCCTGGACCTCTTCATTGGCTGGGCTTGGGCTGGCCATGAAATCAGGATTGAAAAGTGGGATAAAGAAGGAGTTCCCGAGTAAAAAAAAAAAAAAAAAGTCCAACAAAGGTTTTTAAGTCATGATAATAAAGATGATTGATATAGCTGGAGGCCGTTCCTGTAGGGGACAAAGGCAATGAGACGGTGGCCCCGTGTGACTGACGGGCTAAGGCTGTGAGGGGGGGGGGGGGGTGTCAGGGCCCCTGTCTCGTGTGTGAGAGGTGGAAAGGTGGAGAAGAATGCGCCGCTGGAGGAGAACTGGTGACGGGTCCTCATCTTGTTCCCGCCAAAGGCACCCTGCTCCAAACCCATTAAAACAAGAGAAATCCTTCACATTTGAGGTATAGGAAACTTTTTGAAAATATGATGAGATTATATAGTTTTCTTTTCTATGTTGGCTTGTGGTCTGTGCATGTGGAGGATGCCATTTAGGCCCTGGAGCATGCTTTTAGAAATAAATGGTAAAATTACATAAGCAACATGCGCCTTTTTAAAGTGCAGAATGTCCCTCAGCGGGCTTGCTTCTCCCTCTTCCACCGGTAGCAGTCAAACAATACCAACAACACGTTCTCGTAGTAGTTGCACCATCAGTTATCCGCCGGCGTCCATCACAGCGCGCAGTAATCCTGTAACCTTTCATGCGCTCGCTGCGTCACACTGCGTAATATAAAAACGAGTTATCAACTCAATAACGTAATGCACTCTACCTACTGGCCCCCTGTCTTCACTTCCCACACCCGCAGCAGCTTTCTCCTTTGGAAATCGGTGGGCTTTGTTGTATACCTGGTTTCAAGATGGTGTTTTTAATTTGTGTGTGACATTTGCTTTGGATATCAATCACCAATTATTATTATTATTATTATTATTTTTAATTTATTTTTTAAGGCAACTTAAAAAAGGAAAATGCCTTTATTGTCTCCTTTGTTAGATATGTCTTGTGAGATATTTACAGACGCTTTAGCTGCTAAACACTGCATGTGTTCATATTCGCAAAATTCAATGCACTAAAAATAATAAGTATTTTATATTGAATGTTTCCCCTATTAGGAAATGCAAATCGGGAGCAAGGGAATCACAATGTACACAATGTTTGCTCCACCTGATTAGTTGAGTGTCTAGAATTATTCCCTCAAGTCACGCGTTTGCCCGTTGACCCCTGACCGCTGATAGAGACTTGAGATTAGTCAAATACAGTAGGTGACCAGTAGGCTCCCTGGTTTGACGTGCGCCAAATTAGTCTTATCTCAGTGTCTTCATTAAGGACATAAGTGCCCAAGGGCTCATAACATGCAGCCATTCTTAAGCGTGTTGCAGTGACAACATCCTCTCAATAGATGGAGTGGAGACAAGAGCCCCAGACGTGCCCAGAGGCTTCTGACTGACTCTCTCTGATTGCACATCAGAGTATACGGTCTGTGTGCACGTTGGACTTTGTGACACCGTTGGCATGTGTAGAAATCACTTATATTGCTGTTATTTCATTCTCCTTCAATTTGAGCTTCAGTAAACTTTCATCCCAAGTCAAAATTTAAATTATTTCTGTCACAGGCATTCAACTTATTGTAAGTCATTTACGCTGTTCATTCTGTACACATGACATCTATTGACTTCTGGCCCCCCTGATAGCGGCATCCTCTCCCCAAGTTTCTGCGTTTCTTCTGAGTTTTTCCGGTGCCAATGAGAGGGTTCTGGGGCAGAGGACGACGTCCTCTATATGTACAGACACTCTGAGACATATTTGTGATTTGGGGCTATACAAAGTAGTCTCTTCCTTTGCCTCCAGTTTTCCTCGTCTTACTTTATTGTGTGTCGCTGTGATCTTCAGCATCTTCCCAGATGAGTTGAATGTAAAAAAATCCAACGCGGATAATCCGATGCACATGTTGCAGGAAAATCTGCTCATTGAAAACTTCCATGTCTGGCGATCAATACTATGCCTCCTTTAATGTAAGACTAAGATTTGATCTTGGACCAGCTAGATCATAAATAAACTAGATTTAACTTTTACACAGCGTGTGTTTGCACTGCGTGTACCGTGGCTGCGATTGTGTTCGCCATGACAACCTCACAGTCGGCAGTGTGTGTTTGCCAAGAGATGCCAGGCCTCAACAATGGTCTAATATTGCTAGTTGTGTAGCAAGAATGTGCTCGCTATGGGCCCCGCTGAAGCGCTGTGGTTGTGCATGCGTGCATCGGCCTTAAATGGTGCCACTGCCCACCACCACCCTCCTATTATCTGTTCACTAATGTATTCTTTTCATTATCTATCACCTTCACCTTAAAACAAGGATGGATATTCATGACAAAAAAGGTACCCTCTGAAGGTCATCCCGCCCCCTCCCCTGGAAAATTGAAATCCGGCGGTGGCGGCTTTAATTGCCTGCCGCTTTGACTCCGAAAAAAATGTCGGCGCTCCGGCTGCTCACGACGCAGGGAGATGAGATGAAGGAGTTAAAGGGTAGGAGCCACCTAGAGCTCGCTAACTGTCACCACAGACCCAGAGGCTAGAGGAGGGGAGGCGGGGGGAGGGAGGGGAGGGAAGACGGGGCTGACTGCTCTAACACTCTTACACATATCATCATATCTGTATGATCAGTGGGGCGGAGGAAGAGGGAGGGCAGGTTGAAACCCCGGAGCGGAACTGACGGCTACACCTGTCCTCTCCTCCTCTCTCCCTCGCTGTCTTGTTCTCTCTCGTTGTCCCCCCTCTTTTGCTCATCTCCCCATGCCGGGTCCTCGGGGTGAAGATTGCTTGGCTCTCTCTCTCTCTCTCACGTTGTCTCTGTCTCTGCGTGCCCTGTGGTCCTGTGTTCCTCCTGGTGTTCTCTCTCTCCTCTCTCTCCTCCCTCCCCTTTTTTCCCCACATGGGTCCCTCCATCCTCCCCGACTCCCCTCCTCGCCTCCCTGCCGTAGAGATTCTCCCCTAATCCCTGGAAGTTTGGAACTAATGAACTAACTGCTGAGCCGCTGCCACGGAGCTTGGTCCCAAACTATACTGTACTTCACACTCGATTTCCTCTCCAGATGGCATGGTGGCGCGGCCGACGCGACAGAGAGCACCTCTCACACACCAGCACGCGCCCGCAAATGCACACGAGTGCACGAGCTGAGCAGAACACACACACACACACACACACACACACACACACAAGTGAGACGCATGCAGACAGACATTCACACACAGATCCACATGCATGCAAACGCATACACGTATTGTTACAGTGTGCGGCTCACTGTGCATCAGACAAGTGTGACGGAGGGCCGGGGTCTTTCACCGTGAGCCTAGTCGAGAAGCCGGACCGCTTGTTAGTTACTTTACGTTTTTGTCCATCTGTAGGTGATAAATCCGTCCAAAATAATAACTTGAGTAGCATTAGCTTTTATTGGGCCCAGGTGGAAGCCAGAGACCCTTGACTCCTGAATTTCACAGTTTTAAGAGTACACAGGCATTACAACCACCACACACACACACACGATTCACCATGTTTAATATGTGCAATTTGTGGAAAATCGTCAAGCCTCAAGCAGGCGGCAACCTCCGCATGTGAAATCTCACGCCAATACGGAGTAGTTTTAAGTCTGGGACCCCTGTGGTGGTAAAAGTAAGATTGTATAGAAGTCGATTGGAAAATGGCTCTACTTCTCTTTTGATTTATTCCCCCAGTAAATATTCTCAATCTCTACTTGCAACGTAAAATGATGGTCCAATCGGAATCGAATGCACGGCCAGCGACTTCTGATGCAGAAATCTTTTCTAACATTCTTTTCATCCATCAACCTTTGTGGAACCGCTGCCTGTAACAGTGAGCGTCACAGGCAGCAGCCAACATCTCTTGACCAACTTGACGAGTTCTCATCAGGACCACAGAGAGTCTGTACATCTTCCGCCGCAAACTACAGACACACCTCTTCAGACCTTGACTAAAAATACGTATAATCGCGAGTCGGCTTATTTAATGAAATTGTCACTTTTATTTTTTTTTTGCATGTAATGTACTGTATGTGGTAGTGGTTGATCCTGACTGTACAACCTGATGTCCCTCAGAGTGGGCGACATTAACACGGTCTATTAACTTTTGCTAGTTGTAGAACAGTCAATATTTGAGCCGTGGTCTGTGCATGAACTGCGCCTGACACCGGAGATTTATCAACTTAACATAAATTATGCAGCCAACTGTCTAAACTGATCCGTGACCTCAGTTCAATGCCCACCGTGTTATTCCAGAGGACACTGGAAGACCTGCTCTCTATTTAAGTGGATTCAAATGACCAATCTCTTGACAGAAAAAGCTCCTGGGAAATAATGTTGGCCAGTTGAATTATGAATACTGAACATTTGTATTTAGCGCGTGTCGGCGCGTGAGTGCGTTTGCGTCCGATGGAAAGTTCTTTTCGTGTGTGCGCACGCGTTTGTGTACTTGAGGCGCTCGACACCTCGGAAGGACCCAGGAGACTGGAGAGAAACTCCCAGTCAGGCTGCCAAGACTCACAAACGGGATGTGAGCCCGCTCAGCCAGAAAATAGACCCCGTGCCCGCCAGATCAGACAGATCTGCAGATCCAATCCAATGTGTGTGTGTGTGCGTGTGTGTGTGTGTGTGTGTGTGTGTGTGTGTGAGGCGGTTGGGAGGTTCAAGATTCATGTCTGCTATCGATTGGAGTCCTTTCGGGAGCGTACGGCGAACCGGAGGTCAGGGTGCACAGAGAGTGACGACAGCGTGCGTTGTGGAGAAGGCTTTGCTTGTTGTTGGACCACATAGAAGGTGATCTAAAGAGGGAGAGGCGGCGTTTGAATGTAACAATATGAGCCGTATAGTACATTTGAGCTTTCTCTGGTCTTTGGAGGATCTCTCCGAACCGACCCTCGTGCAGCGGCTCTGGACACCCCGGGTTAAGGGGCGAGGATGGAGGCCGATGGGGGGAATCTGGAGACGCGGAGAACAGAGAGGCCTTCTCTCCGTCTCTCGTGATCCGGTTACACTCTGGTGTTTTCACTGGCTGCGCCGCTCTGTGCTACGTGAGCCGCGCAACGCAACACTTGGAGAGTAAACGCCCAGTAGGAGGAGTGATGATGGAGAAGGCGATGAGGAGAACATGAAAGAATAGTGAGGAGGAGGAGGAGGAGAAGGAGGACCGTAATGGAGCAGATGTTTGTGCATCAGGGGTTGGGGGTTCGGTAATGCTAGACCTTTCACTTAAACCTGACTATACAGTTATACAGCATCTGCGGTTTAATTTGCCCTCATGCACACGGAGCAGATCCAAGGTCAACGCCATCCAGCTCAGGCGTCATAGCTCCGTGAGGAAGGCCAAATGTAAGTCTCTCGTAAATTAGAGCTCTCGTTAGTAATTACAGTGTTAAAATCAATAACCATTTTAAAATAAAGCTAATAGAGATGTCAAATTAGGTGCAATTATCCTAATTAGTTCCTAGTTTGTGGGAGTGAATTGGACAGACTGTATTGGGGAGGCGGCTGTACTGGGAGTTGCAAAATAGACCTTTAATCTTTGGAAAACAAATGCATAATCGCATAATCACCAATGAACAATAACTGTAAATTATTTCAATTATGCAGAAAACATACAAAAAGGAAAGCCAGGGATGAGCCTAGGGAAATGAATTCCCCCAAAACATTGCAGTGCAGCTTGTAACGAACTGTAACCAAAGAGCCGTAATGAGCTCCTTTCATGGCTAATTACTGTGAATAAACCGTGTGTAATAAGTAGCTGTTCCTCCAACTCCAGCTGTCAATATTTACCCGCAACAACAAGCCGCAACGCCGCTCGTCGGGTCTCGTCGTTTGTCCACGGCAGACTGACGGGATTGAAGGCCCCAAGTGTCCTTTCTGCCGCGTCTCCGTCATCTCGCTCCAGCCTTCGGGAGTGCAGCGCGACGCTTGTCAACACCCATCCTCGATCACTTGAAGCCTGCTAACACACACAGGCACACACACTGACAGAGACAGACGAACAAATGTGTACACAGTCACTCCTCAGGCAGGCAGCACTTTGCCTGCGATAGTCTGCAGCTCATTTTAAATGGCATCCCGAGTTGCACAGCGGGACGCAAAACGGCAACGACAAAAAAAAAAAAGAATGAAGGAAAACCAAGTACGCTCATTGCGACTCGTGAGTTCCTCACTCTCATCACGCAAAACTACGTCGACTTGCAGACACATCGCTCCACCCCGTTTGAAGGCACAAAAAGTGCCACATCAGATGCTTCTGACTGAATCCATCTCATTAGTCTATTATGTGCTTTTCTGCTTCCCAGTCTGTTGACACCCACATTTCCCTTTGGAAATAGAATAGATTCCACCCTTTTCTTTAGCCTTAACACACATTTCCTGTCTTGTTATCGTTCCTCCCTTTCTATTGTGTGTAGACAGTGAGAGTCTGCACCCAGGGAGACATGGCTCTCGTTTCGGGGGGCCAGCCGTCCACGACCCGTTGCTGGAGAGCAAGGCCGTCTCATTTGGGGGTCTACAAGGCGGCGGCCACCCTGCGTCCGACACACACACCCGGGTCCTGAGCGTGCCCTGGCCCCTCTCAGAGGTCAGCCTCTTGGCCACACTTGAAGAAGCTCCTCGTCCAGGTCTACGCTTTGTGACGGCCCCCGCCTGCCCCGGCCGACTGCTCGCCCGCCCGCTTGTGCGCCGGCTTCTAATGAGGAGGATGATGATGGGCAGAGTGTGGGGGGGCGCGTAATCAAAGAGGAGATGGTGCGGACGCCGGGGCGAGCTCTCTGTGGGACACCTGGTGATTGGGGAGGGAGCTTTGAAGCAACTTGTTGGATGGCTGTCCATTAATGTAAAATATTTGCTTTTCAAAAGGCTTTTATTCAAGCTCGGGGTAGCGGAGCCCATAGGGGTCAAGGTGTCTGTCGGAATAATATCTCACCTTTCCAGAGACAACGAGGATAAAAGGAAAGCACGGCCTTCTCCTTTTTTACACCGGCGCCTCAAAAGAGGAAAAGCTTAGCAGACAATTCTTGCAAAGAGCGGCCTCCAGTTCCATTGAGATCATTTGGTACGGAGCGGGATGCTCGGCCTTCCCCAGTCTATTTGATCCCCTGGATGTTATGAACCATGCTTTTTGATCATTCCTGGATCGCTATTTATTTTAGTTTGGCCGGGGATCAATGTGACTGGGTTCTCACAAATCAATTTTCTCCAGTCACCATGGACCGTGGGGGGTGAGGGGAGGGGGGGGGGGCACAGACATAATGTAATCCACCAAGTAGCAGGTTTATGAAGGAGTGAATTACGGCCGCGTAAAGCGCCCCGTCCGTTTTGGGTTACCGCGGTGCAGTTTTACAGGTCCGTCTCGGCAGGGCGAGCGGCGGCGGCGGCGCGGCACACACGTGGTCAGAAGGATCACAGCGCCGGGACAGTCCCTCTTGTCTCATTCAATGAGGCAGAAGGCGCGCACAGATGGCACAGCCTGCTCGTGACCCCCCATTAAATCCGTGCAAATCTTTGATATGTACTTTGATACCGTGTTTTTATTGATACTGGAGGGGCGTTGGTCATATCAAGTGCAGTCCTGCATTCCAGGAGATCAGAGCGAGGGCTGTTATGTCTCAGAAGCTCGTCCCGTGACCCCTGAGGGCGCCCCACACGCCCTCGTACAACCCATGCCGCTCCGCCTGTAGTCCGCTGTAGTATTTAAAAACTTTTTTTTACAAGAGACTGTGATGTATGAGCCGTCTGCGTTATATTCCACTCAGATGTTTTTTTTGCAGTAAATCCGAAGCGACTGCAGGACGATTGTATCCATTCCATGCATCCATTGTGCAGACTGTATCCTAATGGCTGAATGCACTTATTGTAAGTCGCTTTGGATAAAAGCGTCAGCTAAATGACATGTAACGTAATGTAATCCATCCATTGGCGACGGGTTTATTTATCACCCCAATTCCATTTCGCGGAAAGAAGCATCTCCAAAACCTCCATCAACCGGGTGTTTCTCTGTATTTCTTTTGAGGGAACTGTACTTAGTCAGTATAAATGGAGATTGAGCGGTGGAGGAAAAGAACCCAGTCCGATCTTCTCCACAACACACTCCTGCACAAGCACTCAGAGGCTCGAGCCTCTGATCCAACCTGACATCTTCTAAGCTACCGTTTCCTCGTTGCCGCTTAACTCGGAGCACATTTCTGCCGGAGTCTCTCGCCGCTCCGTCCCTCCCTCTCTCCCCTTCTCCCTCTCGCTGTTCCTGTGGGCCAGCATCTGGTTTGAATATAGCGGCGTGTGCTACCGCGTTAGCGATGGAAGTCGGGCTTCCCGTTTGATTCCGTCCTCCTCGTCGCTCTTCCTGCGCCGCTCACACAATGCCGGGCATTGAGGGAGCCGCCGGCTGTCTTCTTGACTTGTGGCTTCCTGCATTAAGAGAAACTGAAGTTACGTTCGGAGTGTTGTTGCTTTTGTTACTCATTTTTCATCTTAAGTTACATTAGACTGTCCAGATTAAGGTATGCTTGGTCAATGATGACGATGGCACATTATTTGTGTAAATAGTCGCATTTCCTTTCAGGTAATTGGACTTTTTATATATATATATATATCAATTTCTCCACCCGTGTTTTTATTCATTTTTTCTTGGTCGATGGAGCAGATCCGCCTGAGTGCATTTCTTGTCTAACATCTCCATGTTTCAACATTTTGCTTGTTGACATTTATGGCCTGTCACCTTCCACGACTACCTTTTTTTTTTTTTTAAACGTTCAATTTTGAATCCAAGAACATGCTGCGTGAGATGCATCTCATGAAACATGTATTTCTCTCTGTGGTTTCATGGTGCCGCAGGCGGAGGCCAGGGAGCTGATTCCCAGGATGCTGGCGGAGCTGGACCTGGGCCGGACGGAGAAGTGCGTGAGGGTGAACTCGGTGTCCAGCGGACTGGCCGAGGCTGACCTGCAGGTCATCCTGCGGGCGGAGGTTCTCCCTCCGGCCATCATGTTGCCCAAAGTGGAGGACACGCAGGAGGTGCAGTGGGTGAGTTCCAAATATTGGCCCCACATTAGAAGTACAAAAATAAATAAGCGGGCTGAATGAAATAATCAGACCTCTGTGTAAAGACGTTGCTAAAGAGGTATACAGATACCCGTGAGTTTTCTCTTTCACCTCCGGGTGTCTTTATTAAAAAAACGCACTGGTGCTCCTACACAAACTCATGGAGTAAGAGAAAACCACAGGAGTCTTCAAAGCAATCATAACAAACTTTTCCATTTCCCAGTAAAAGTGGGAATCGATCCCTGTGGCTGGACTCGGGGACAGACGGGGTGTTTTTCTTGGCCGCTGCTCAAGAAACGCATGACATTTCTTTGGGATTAGCTTCAGAAGCCCGATAGCTTTCTGTAACAACACATTGGAGCCTTACTACTTACTAACTTACTGGGAAGCCGCCTCCAACGGTGCCGCAGTGTGGCTGAGAATGTATTTTATCGCACTTTAAGCAGAATCGAACCGAATGGAGAAGAATGTGCCTCAGATACGAGTTCCATTATGGTATTCACGCATGCCTTTGAAGTGTCAGTGTCCGAGGACGACCACAAACCGATACCTTGATCTACAAAGTCAAAAGCAGGTGAGGCTGAGCAGACGTTTTCGACGGTGCTTAAAAAGATGTTCCACAACCCGATCCGACGTCGGACACCCGATGCTTTTGCCCTTTTAGGTCACAAGAAATAACGGTTAAGCAAATGCAAAATGACGGCTCGCCACTATTGTTGCCAGCGAGCGTATGATTTACAACTGGTCCTCACTAGCCGGGCCTGCGTGTGCGCTGGTTGAGGGGTTCGGCCGCGCTCAGCCAATCCCTCTGGCTTCCTCTGAAGGGCCGCTGCACGGATGTCAGGTCCTGAAAGGTCAGGAGACAGTGGCATCATTAATGCGGGCCGTTCTGATGGGCTCCATATGGTTCCCTTAGCAGGAGGAGCCCAGCTACTGTCCGCCCCCCCGAGTACAGTTCAAAGGTCCCATATTAAAGCACTTTCCGCTAATTCAAATTTGTTTTACTCGCTCTCTTTTTGCATGCACAATAGCTTCTTCACTTATTTTTAGGAAAACACACTGTTATTGCTCTTGTCGAGGTGCAAATTCCAAACCGCGCTTGGTGATTACACAAGAGGAAACGGAGAGAGAGAGAAGTGAAAGGAGGGCGTCTCGTCCGGCCTTTCCTTCAGTGTTTCAGTGCACATGCACACTCCCGTACGGGGTCTCGGGGCAGGAAGTTTTTAACTAGTGCTTTTAATTAGAACACATCTATTTCCTGCGGCCCCTTTTCTTTTTTCCAAGTCTAATTGCTGACAGGTGTTCACAGCCGCTCCTCCCAACTCTACTTTCCTTCACTCAAGTTCATTTTATTCTTCTAATTTCCTTTAAAAAAAAAAAAGCTAATCCACCTCTCTCCTTCTGCGTGTGTGCGTGTGTGTGTGTGTGTGTGTGTGTGTGTGTGTGTGTGTTGAGGGGCGTTTCTGCATCAGCAGGTGCGTGTGTGCTCCTGAGCCAGTCTTTCTTTGGTGTGTGTGTGTGTGTGTGTGTGTGTGTGTGTGTGTGTGTGTGTGTGTGTGTGTGTGTTTGCTCGCTTTAATCTCATCCTCCAACTTTTCTCCGTGTCTCTTTTTTTTTTGTGCGCGCGCCGTGTCGTCTGCTTTGTGTCGCCTGCGTCCGATTCTCTCCGCTCTTGTAAATCCCTCACTTGTTTGTTTTTTCTCCCTCCTTTTTAAATGTTTTTCTTTTTTTTTTTAATTGATATTAGCACAGGAACCTCCAGGACTGATTTGTTGCTAAAAGATGGACTCGCTTGTTTCCCTTTGTGTGGAAAACCTTTAGCTCTGCCTTCCGCCTCTCCCCTCGGCCCTTGTGTGACTGACAGCCCTTATTGGGCTATAACAGGCGTAACTCCCCCCTTTTGTCCGGGGGACAATTCTCACACGGACTCGGAGCCGTGCGCATTCTTTGCCAACCGCACTATTTGGTGTGCACTGGGACCGAAAGAATTGCGCCCCCACCCTGTTCCGCTCCTCCTCCTACTCCTCCTCCTCCCGTCCCCTCTCTCCCTCTCTCTCTCTCTCTCTCCCTCTCTCTCTCTCCCTCTCTCTCTCTCTCTGTCTCCCCCCCCTCTCTCTCTGTCTCCGCTTCCCCTCTGTGAAATGAACACTTCAGCAGGCCGGAAACATTTAATCTGGCCCCCTTTTGAAGAAAATTAATTGAAACTTGTCCCACTATCGCCTCCTTTTCTCCTGCTCCCTCTCTCCCTCCTTCTCCTTTCAGGATTGGGTGGCAAAAGAAAATTGTCAGAGGGTCTTGTTTTGTAGTGAGGCTCCGCAAGAAAAGAAGAGGTGTTATTTCTTCTTCCTTTTCTACTTTTTTCTTCTTTTTTTTCCCATTTCTTTTTCACATTCGGGAGTGAATAACATCTTAAAGGGCCCTGCTCTTTGAGATCCATTGACGGCTAATAGTTGCTGTTTGTGCCAGAGGAGCCTCTTGTGCGCTGTAAGTCGGGGCCCTTCAGAGCGCACAATGGCTGAAGAGGAGAATCACGCTGCCGGACAGAAACATGTAATCAGAGAGGCTCTTCAGCCGCCTCGCCCGTGTTTCCCCACCGCCGAATCCAAGCAGCTCGGCCCGCCGCGGCCTTGTCGAGGGGTTTGCGTGGGCGCCGTCCGTCGCCGTGGTAATCTGTGTGTGTGTGTGTAATCTCAGCGACGGGGCCACATCTATCTGGTCTGCTCCGTGACAGAAATAGGTTTATCTACAGCCTCTTTTTCACAGCCCCCTCTCGGACAACACCCCCCCCCCCCCCTAACACACACACACACACACACACACACACTCTTTCCTGTGTTCACGAAGGAGGGGGGATATTATGCTAAGCTCCGGCGTTAGTTTTTATGTTGCCATAGCAGCCCTGCTCCCACAGGGTTGTGACCTCAGATGATTACAGTACAAAGCCTATTGGGTCTTGAAAACCTCTTTGAAGATGAAAAGTCTTTGATGGTTTGTATTTATGCAAATCTCTCAGATATGATTCATCCAACTGAGATTGAATGGAGAGATGATTAAAATTGCCCCTATTTATTTTTTTGAAATCCTTCAATGGAGGCCCCGCTCTTTGGGTTTTCATGAGAACAAGAGTGGTGAGTGCCGAGCGCCGGGTCGCTTTGCTCTTCATTTAGAGAAATGGCAGCGGTGCACCTGAGGTTATTTATATCTGTCTTTCTTTCCCGGTGTGTCAAAGAGGGAGCTAAGGAAAAGGAGAGGAGGTGAGGAGGAGGGAGGTAGGGTGGGTCGGGGGGGGCATGGAGTTAGACATTTCTCCTCTGAGCTTTTGCGCCCTTTCCTTTTCTTTTCTTTTCTTTTTTTTGGGGACTGGCTTTGAAAGGAAATATCTGACGGAAAGGGAGCTTTTGTGTGTTTCCAGATGATAGATTTTGGAATTTGGGCTTCCCCACCGGCAGTCCAGGGCTCGCTGTGAACTGGTCTGTTGGAAAAAATGGAACCGCTTTGGTCTTCAAAGAATTAAACTCTGGTTTTAAAGCCCTACTTAGGTGAGCTTGCATATTAGCGGGAGTTGCTTGGAATAAAGGCCTCGGCAGAGTGTCACATCGCACTCTGATTGTTGCTCCAGCCTCCCGATCCCCCGCCACGGAAGGGTGTGTGTGTGTCTGTGTGTGTGGGGGGGCAAAACCGAATAATGTAGGGCGTAAAACACACTCAAAGACATCTCAAATCTTGTTTCTTCTCAACCCCCCCCCACCGTACACACACTATTTTGTTTCTTCTTCGGTTTGCTGTGTGCCTGCGTGTGTGTGTGTGTGTGTGTGTGTGTGTTTGCACACTCCCGGGGGAGCATAAGCGGTTGTGCGGCAGCCTCTGTGGAAGAAGGTAGAGCCGAAGACTTCAGACGGAAGGGGGAACCCTGGTGATAATGTAAAATATTTCATTTCACCCGCGTTTGTCGGCGACGTGTCTCTCTGTCTCGGTGTCTGTCTCTCGCTCTGTCTCTCGCTGTGTGATATTTCAACCCTGGCAGAAGTGTTTTTTTCGGGTAAGGACCAAAACGGGAACGCACAGGTAATAAAGGTGTCGCGACTCAAATCAAAAGTGAGCCTGCGCACGTTAACGGAACTATTTTTACTCCCCTCCTGCTCCCCCTCCCCCTCTACGCCTCTCACCCCCACAGTGGATTTTGAAGGATTCCATATCATTTATGTATTTTTTTATTTTTTCCCCCCTCCACCTTTTCATTTTCGGTAAGTCAAAAGCTCAGTGTCTCAGGAGGAGCTGCCGGTTTCGGCTCATTTGTACAACGAACAATGGATTTTAATGGATTGTGTGTATGTATGAAAGACCGATACCTTTATATGTATGTAGGGTACCTTATACAAAATAACCCCAATTGATTCAAGCTTATGTGGAAATCTTATTTTTATTTTGTATTTTACGGCAGATAATACACGTGAACCAAAACACGGGCCTGTGATGAACGTGATCCCTGCTGCAGTCGGAGAAGCGGGAGCAAATGGCTGCGCTGTGATTGCTCGGAGCTTTACTGTTGTCTCGGTGCTGTTAATGAGTCGGGCCTGACGTGGTCCCCGTGTGCTTAGTTCGTTGGCAGGTTTCAGCACCACTTGAAAGGACGGCCGCTGACGGAGCCCATCCGCCTGGTGACCTTTGTGGAAACCGCTGTGGGCCTGCTCAATTTTAAGGTAAATCCCAAACAAACCAACACTCCCCCCCCCCCCAAAAAAAAAAAAAAGCTGCTCGCGGAAGACATTTCTCTGCAGTTCGTCCATTGTTCACCGCGGATTAAAGAGCGCGTCAGTGAGCAGAAGCGCCCCACGCGTCCAAAATGAAAGGGATTCAAAAGCTCCCAAAATGAGCTTTGTTTCTTTTCTCTTCCTGTCCGCGTGAGTCTCCCTCCATCCCTCTCCAGACACGCTGGCATTTGTTTAATTACCAACTCTTCTGATTTCATCATAGTGGAAGAGTTGTTAATGACATTTTGGCAAGCATCAAAGCGGTTCCTTTCCCGGTACGCCATCGACCTTCAGCGACGCGGGGGAAAGGGCACGGTTCTGGGGCATTCTGGGAGAAACAAGCTGTCCCTACTCCCCCCCTTTTTTTTGATTTGTCTCTTCGTTCCCCGCTCCGGTTCTGTGACGGTCTGTCTTTTGATGGCAGGGGGTGCCTCTGTGTGCTTCCCTGGGAACGCCCCGTATCTTTGCCCAGACTGAACCGCAGGTTTCAAGCCGGGGAAAAAAAAAAGAAGGAGGGGGAAAAAATGGCTTTGGCACAGCTAGTGGCCAAATTAATTTGGAAGCAAATAAAAGCCAAGAGACGCGTTCTCATTGTTTCCAGCTCTTCGCCACAGACTGTCACATTCTACAACTTTTTCTCTTTTTTTCTCATTGGACAATGGTTGTGTCCAGAAGTCTGTTTGCGGCTCATATTTGTTTCATTTTGTTTTCCACAGTTAACAATGTGATCGCTCACCTCCGTTTCAATCAGCAACAGCAAAAAATCCCAGGACCTCTAATTCAACAAAAAACAATGCTGAATATGAACAAACAATCACTGGTTTTAGCGCTCGACTTTTGCAGAAACTCTCAAACAGCATTCAGGTCCGATCGTATCTTTGGAAACTCAAAAATCCACATTATTCAAACCCCTGTTTGGATATCGGATTAAGTTGAACTCCGCAGCATTGGGGCCGATCCGTCTTCCACCTGCGTCACCTCAGCCCGCCTTTTGTTAAACTAATGTACATTCTCTCCAGGCGGTGTGCGAGGAGATCCGTCGCCTCGCCCCAGAAGCCGGTCTCCAGCACGACGGCGTGGTGTTCGGCTCCGACGACTTCTGCGCCAGCATAGGTACCGATTACACCGGCTGCTCAGCCAGCTCACCCCAGCGCCGCCACACATGGGCTTTTTACCTCGTTCAAATTTTCCGATTTTGCGTCAGGGAACCCAAGGCTGTAAACCCGGCCTGTTAGTAAAGGAATGTCTCACATGTCTGAGCAGTGCTTACAAATCCACTATTCAATGATGCACAAATGACTTGTTGCTGTGTGATGAATGAGATGGGGGGGAAGCCTTTATTCTCTATATCAACACACTAGAGTGTTTCATTTAAACGTTCCCACAAGTAACAAGTGGCTGCATTTAAATCCTAGTTCATGTGTTGTATTTAGTTCACGGGTTTAATCCATGTTTTTTAAGGTGGTAATCTCAATAGGTATGCAAACAGTGTTTGAACTGCTGGTCCTCCCCCTTTTTGATATTTCATGGCATATATTAGATGAAACAAATGTTGAAAAACTGCAAAATTTGCAATAGATTGTAGTAGATCGCAATACACCCCAAAGTTTAATATTGCAATACTTCAGCATATTGCAAAATGTGTAAAAAAAAAACACTAATCTGATATTATGGTATTGTGACTATATAGCACGATATTATTGTATCATTATATCGTGTTGTGAAGTATCATAATATTGCATCATGGAGCCTCTGTTGGTAGTCTAATGTATCTTGTATAGTAAACTAGATTTAACAACAGAATATATTGATTTTAAAGGATCAAATCCACTTGTATTAGTATTGTTATGCCGTAATAATTGTAAAGATGTAATTGCTGTCCTGTTTCACCACAAGGTGACCTCTCTCTCTCTGTTCTCAAGGTGCCACGCGGACTGAAGATGCCAGGGAGCTCCTCTACGCCCGGCAGAAGGTGGTGGTGACCACCAAAGCGTTCGGCCTGCAGGCCATCGACCTGGTCCACATCGACTATAAAGACGTGGAGGGTCTGCGGCGACAGGCCAGGGAGGGGGCCCTCATGGGCTTTACAGGTGAACCTCTCGCCATCTGGGTCTCAAGATCCGCCTCCTCTCCCGTTAGCGACTGTCCTCTGCGCTCTCGGTGGTTGCTCTTCATTCGCATCACGTTTACTCTTCACTTCCCCCTGTGGCACAATAACAGACTCCCCTCTACTTCCTGCCGCTTTCAGGCAATCCGACATTTCAGTTTCCACTCCTTCCCCCTCCGTCTGGCTCTTCCTGCTTCCCGAGTGAGGATAGGATGCATGAGTTAGTTGAACATCTGGCTTTTCGTTTGACATGAACTCACATGTACTGTTCTTTGTGGGGAAGGTGTCACCTTAAAATCACCATTGTTTCTGCCTTTGCAACCGGCTGCTTTGTTATTCGCCAAATTTAAAATATGTTTTAGCACCTCAGGTGCTGCTAAAGGGAATTGTGAACAAGGCCGCTTTGCTTAAATGCTTTTGTGACATTTCCGTTGCGCCCACTGTGTGTGTGTGTGTGTGTGTGTGTGTGTGTGTGTGTGTGTGTGTGTGTGTGCGTGCACTCAGGTGCCGTACCTGATTGTGTGCAAAAGTGTGTTTTGAGTATGATTAAAGGGAGTTTAAGTAGTGGTAGCGTCTACTTTAATGGTGCTCTGTGTGTGTCTGTAGCCAGGCAACGCTTTCAGAATGAATGTGTGTGTGTGTGTGTGTGCGTGTGTGCGCCCCCCGCAGACTGCCTGTAACAGACCACAGAAGGCAGGACAGCCTGCTCCAAACTGGATATTCCGGTCATTCTGGCTTTGCTGCAGCAAATATGTTTATTTCGGTTTTCACATCCTTTTTCGCGGGGGTTTATTTAGTACGTTGTAATGTTGAGCTTGTTTTTTCTTTGAATATGAAATCTGGAACTGAAGCAGAACAATGTCAGCAATAAGTCTGATTTCAAACTGTCAAAGAAAAAAAGAAAGCGCATTTTATCTCATTCCTATAAAACCCTGACCGCGGCCTCCGTGTTGCACAGGCCTTGACACGCACGCATTTCTGTGTGTGTATATCCAAATTATCGCAGCAATAGTACTGTTTTTAGACAACCTGGCACCTTTTACTGAGCAGTTCAAACAAAGCTGGAGGTTTTACTCGAACGTGGTTGAAAAGACACAAAAGCTTAACGTTGAAAGCAGCCAGTTGATGAAATAATTGTTTATATTTGATATGGAACCAAACCATTTGGAGCAGTGGATTAGTGGCTTACAAGCCGTGGGCACTCTGCATAATCTAAATTAGTAGCTATTACTGGCCCTAGTGTGCTTAAGCAATAATACGGGGCAGCCAAAAGCCTCTACCTGCGCAGTAATTGACCTTGGCAGTACCTAAGCTGTGCACGGCACCCATTAGCACCGAGCACAGGACGCGGTGCTGCGTCCCGGTCCACGGGACGCGGCACACAGGAGTCTGCAAAACCTACCGAGGATGAGGGTCCTTTTGTGCATTCTATTCCTACGAACGTAAACTCCATAAATGTTATGTTGGGTAAACTCTGCGTTGCTGCACAGACTCTATGAAACTTTGTGTTTCACTGCCAGAAATTACAAAACTAAAAATACATAAAAACGCTTCCACAAAATAACCTGCTCTCAGGGACCCCGCATTTCACGTCCATCTCGGGGACCCTGCCCATCACTCGCCTGAGAGCTCTTTGCTAAATAGCAATCCTCCAATGAGACGTGGGTACCACATGGCAGCCCGGGATTGGCTGCAGGGCACGAGTGATGCCTGCTCAGGGGAGCCAATGGGGTTGTAACTGAGGGCACCTGAGTCACCCTGTCTCGTCTCTTCGCTCCGTCATTGTCCTGTTGTCCGACGCACACGCAAGGACACGGGATTCGTCTTTCCTCCCTTTTTTTTTTTTTTTTTTTAAAGAAATTAATCCAGAATAAAATGAATTTAAGGAAAATACAAGCTGCCGTCTCCGGCTCAGAGGTACAACAGGCGGCGAGGAGGGAACACGCTCCTCTTGCCTGAATCCTCATAGAATGCAACACACGAGTGCGTTGCCCACATCCACATTACTGCTGGGAGCCCTGAAACACCACTTGTTAGTACCGCACTACGAACGAGGTGGTGCGTGCACAAATAAACACGCGCGCTGCACACTCTCCTTTAGTAGCCGTGGGGAGTCCTCGGGCTGTTAGTCCACCACAACGTGTGCAGTTGGCAGTCTCTCTGCCGCGCACAAACAAACAAACACGGAGGCATTCACGGAGTCACAATGGCCGACTAACAAGTGTCACATTTTGTGTCGTGCACGTCGCCCTCTCAGAATCTATTAATCATGAGCTGCGAGTTGATGTTCTGTCATTAGTGGTTGTCTAAAGCTTTCAACTGCACAGTGTGCTGATTGTGTGCAGGGCTCTGTGTGTTTTTGCAAAGGTTAACTGGGGTGAGGGGAGCTGCCTTCTCCCCCGCCTCTCTCTCCCTCTCCCTCTCCTCTCGTTCTCTCTCCAGGGCTGAAAGATTTTTTCGGCCACCTTGAGGGATTTGTCGCCGGCGACGGAACTAAGCCCATAAAGTGTTGAGTTCCTGCTGGCTGAACGCTGAGCCGTCGTTTCTCACCAGACGTTTTCATAACCTTAACTTATCGCTACAAGTTTGATCTGCAGGCGTACACGGGATTATGTCTGCAGCGTTAGCCCACGTCTTAACTAGGGGGGCGTGGGGAGGGGGAGGAGGGGGTTTAGCTTTAACTCCATGTTAAGATTGTGCTTCACTTCTGGAAGGAACGACTATAGATTGTATGGAGGCGGTTTAAACTGTAAAAAGGGGGTCTCTTTTTTGTAATGACGACGCATCAACGTGAGTTTAAACATGCTGATGACCCCCCCCCCCCAACCTCCAAATCGAGTATACATCGGTGAAGAAGTCTGGGGACCTCTTCTGCTTCGGCTTGGGCCTCCTCTCTGGCAGGAGTGGGGCAGCTGTAGTCCCTCCCCATTTCTACATCCTCATTTTGATCTTTAAAATGCAGCTGTTGGGGCACATTCCATTGTCATGAAAAAAAAACAGGTTTAGTTATAATCAGAGAGGTCGTTTGGCACGATTTTGTTTCTGGCAAAATTGCCACTTTAGTTTGATTTCATTTCAAACCACTGTTGACATTAGCGTATTTAACTTTAGTGTGTGTGTGTGTGTGTGTGTGCGTGTGTGCGTGCGCGTGCGCGTGTGCGTGTGCAGGTAAGCAGGTCATCCACCCAGGGCAGATCCAGGCTGTGCAGGAGGAGTTCTCCCCCAGTAAAGAGAGGGTGCAGTGGGCCGAAGAGCTCATTGCTGCTTTTGACCAACACCAAAAGGAGGGAAAGGTAACGTTAACCAAGTAAAATCACATTGTTTTACCGTAAAACCTTCTTAACTGAATCGTTTTCCTCTGAAGTTGCTACCTCTAGTTCAACTGTTTATCTTTTTTCCATATTTATATTATTAACATTGTATTTCCAGTAATTTTACGCCAAGGCAACAACCTATTTGAGATGTCACTTCATTCCTTAAACAGACCAACTCGTATTGAAGAATAATTAATGGTAAAATGTACACTGACGTTATAAATCAGCCACACATGTTTTTAGAGGGATACCTCGAAGGGGCCTGGATATCTTATATATTTATTAAAATCTAAAACGTGCCCGGTGTTGAGATAAGTGGAGTCTTCCTGTGCTCCGGGGGCCCGGCCTGATCCTTTTGTGTGTCCTCTCACACACCTCTGTAGTTCCAGAGAATACATACTGTACACCCCTGGGTGACTCTCTGAAGACGACATAGGGGACGGAGGAGTGGGGGGGGGGGGCGGAGGGGTCGGGGCCAATTAAGTGTACAATATTATTGTTCCTAATTTAGTGCATGGCTGGACCTTGTGTGCTGAGCTCTGTGGGCTATCTGCTGAGGTAACACACAATCTGCCCACACCTCTCTCCCTGCCAGGGCTGCTCCCACTAAGCATCGCCCGAGGGATTCATGTCCGCACAACGCGCCTGTGTGTGTGTGTGTGTGTGTGCGAGAGCAGGGTCAGTCCCTTTGTCTTGCAACACGACAGGTGCTTGTTTTTCATAATTCTTACCTCTAGCTATTGACTGCATTTGCTCGTCTGACCCGAGGTTTCTTGGAGATCTTTCAGGGTGGGACATGTACCAGATGATGTGTAATTCACAGATTTTCATTCGGGTTTTTTCTTGCCATTCTTTTAAAGTCACGTTTGACTGCGTTCGGGCACTTTCACACTGCAACTTTTTTGCTCTATTAAATGAGTTGTAGTATAAATGGATTATTTAAAGCATATTTCCAGGCTACATCCCCATACACACAAAGCACTTTGCATGAAGCTTTGTGCTGTTTTTTCAGCACCGTGATCTGCTTCCTACATTTGGGAACCCCGTCCTTCCTCTGAGAACACCCCGGGCTCCGCTCTGACGCCTCTCCTTGTGCCCCCTCCCCTGTTGTGAATCTGTTCAGGGCGCGTTCACCTTCCGCGGCAGCATGATCGACATGCCCTCGGTGAGGCAGGCGCGGAACGTCCTCACGCTGTCCGCCGCGGTGACGGAGGAGCGGCGCGACTGAGAGGAGCGGCTTTGAAACCCGGACGGCCCGAGAGGGAAGCAGCGAGCCGTGCGCGCGACGACGCTTCAAGCGCTTCATGGACTGTGCACGCGCTGGATTTCATTTTAAGTTTCTAACAAATGTGGAAATGTTTTGAGTTGCGGTTTTGAATTTGTGCTGCTGTCGCCCCGTTTGTGTTTCAAATACACTGTGAGATGTTTTCCAGTGGCATCACATCTGCACATATAGTTGCAGCAGCCTCTCAAAAGTCCACTTCGGCACAGTGCGGTGTGTGTGTGTGCGTGTTTGTGCACGTGTGTACGCCATGATGTCATTCTCCTGTGTGTGTGTGTGTGTGTGTGTGTGCGTGTGTGCGCCCATGCCTCCCATCTCTCCGAGGTCCTGATGAATGCGCTCCCATCTCCTCGGCCGTGGCAGCTGGGCGAAAGGGTAAACAAACACAACAAGCCACTGTTGTGGTTCCATTCATTAAGCCTCCAGTCGGGCCTCAGCCCCCCTGCCGGTAGGCCTGACTCACAGACATCAAAGTCCTGAAAAACGGCCCCAAAAAAAACCTCCAGATGGAAGTGCGTAAGGTCACGATTTAGCTTTTGGTGTGCGTGTGTGTGTGTGTGTGTGTGTGTGTGTGTGTGTGTGTGTGTGTAGGCATGCTGCTCAGCCTGAGACACGCCGCTGTACGAAAGGTAAACACCGCATACGTGACGCCAGGCTTCCTCAGCTGATTCCACACAAAATACTCTTCTTCATCAGCATCTTCAACCGCTTTAAAAAGGTCACCTTTAGTCACATATTGAACAACAAAACCAAATCAAAGTAGCACGAGAAGCTCGGCGGAGGACTCGAGCACGTTGTGACTCCCAGAGACAGTGAAGTGGGTGCGATGTTGGAGTGAGACAGATTAGTGGCCATGTTGCTCCAGCAGAGCAGGGCCGGGCTTTGTCTCTCCGACTGGATGGGAGGATAATTGAGGGGGTGTTGAATGGTTAATAGTGCCATTGGTGACCATGGTAATGAAAAGGGACTGTGCCTGTACCCCAGCTCGTCCGTTCATCCCCCCCCCCGCCCGCTCGCTCCCTAGTACTGTATGAGCTATTGTGTCTGGGGCAGGGCTGCGGTCTGGGCCGGGCCGGGCCAGGCCAGGCCAGACAAAAAAAAGAAGAAATCGAAGCCACTCCTGCTCACGACAGTAAGCTCTCTATTTGGCGCCCGGCCACATATTTCTCTCACATCCAATCTACCATTACGCCAAGAGTTAGTGCACAAAACTGCCATCACTGGTGACTTTCATGAAATAAATCCAGTGTTTGGGTACACAGATAGTTTGAGGATGTCCAGAACTTTTGAAATAGACGTCGGAGGAGCGGCATCTCAAACCCTGGTTGACTTAAATTAAGTAAAATTTCATTTAGATGTTTCATCCACTTGTACATAACATCATTTGCAGATTGACTAACCTGTACTGATCGCTTAAGTCATGTGTCTTGTTTCCAATCTGAAGCAAATACAGAAAGACGTGCAGAAAAAAATGTGCAATGTGATTTGAAAGAGAATTAAGGCGCGGTGTAGATCGTTAGGACAGACAACATGTGAATAAAAAGCTTCCACATTGCTACACCAGGTGTTCCCTCCATCATTGTTAAAACCAAGTCTCACGTTGAAGATGTTGTTCCGTATACGACAGAGCCGCAGGAAGTGTTTTGCCTCACTAGCTGCTGTAGAGGCTCGTCAGGTGAAGTCCATGCAGGGGAGGAGGAGGAGGAGGAGGAGGAGGAGGCCCTGAATGGGACAACGGTGCTTTCTCCACCGAGCCACTCCACAGGTGTCTCCCACCCCACCAACCACCAACCTGAGCAGGAAGGGATCGGGACAGTTAAACTTTAAAAGCATGCTCTTATGTGATATTTTTAATACCCCCCCCCCCCCCCTGTTATACAAGTGAAACAAAGGTCCATTGGGCTCTGCAGCGTCGCCATTCAGTCAGCGCTCGCGGATGAAAAAAAAAAAAGACACGCGAGATTTCCGGTGACATCTCTGTAGATTAGAGGAATGCGTCCTCCTGTCCGCCTCCGCGTGTAATTCTACATGACATTTCTATTATGCGTGCTGGAGCCCGATGTAATCTCCAGTTCGGCTGCGGCACTTTTTGTATTTAAACGCATCTCTCCGGTGCTCACCGAGAGCGTCAATTACAATTAACGCGATTAGATCCTCTCCAAAAAATTGTGACGGGAATCAATTAGGCTGCGAGCAGTTTTTCATAATGTGCTGGTCGAGATTGCTTTCATAAATTACGGGGAGGGGGGGAATGCATGTATGCAAAACACTGTCAGAGGAAAATTAAAACGAAATGTTTTACATATTTTTCCATTAATCTAAATGGGGCCCGTGTGGCAAAGATGGTTTTATTCTAATTCCTCGCCCGGGGACTCCCGAATAATGACTTGATGTTTTAATAGACTTCTAATGACAATATATGACAGAGTAATTGCAGAGGAATAGTATTCCAAAGCAATGGAAATACCTCGTTATTGCATCTGCAGCACAGTTTGAGAAGTGCAAACCTATTAGCCCAAAGGAATGGCTTGAAATGCGACGTGCGCGGATCCAATACAAATTAAAACATTTAGTTTAGGCTAATTAACTCTGTTTCAATATTTAGATGTATTTTGTTTTAATGGGATAGGACTTTTTCAAAGTGGCTCCAATAAGCCGTCATCTTCCGAGGAGCTGTGACTGCTCCAACCCGGAGGCAAGACCGTTTTTTTAAATTAATATTATTATCAATTACTGCTTTCCAAAATAATAATAAAAATGGGATTTTCTCTTACACTTTCTTTTGAGATAAGCCCTTTATGGTTGTAGAATAAAAAAGGAAAATAATGCAGCTGCTAGAAAACCATTTTCCACTATTTTCCTAATTTAATTGCAGAATAGAAATTACAATATTAAAGGTGGATTAATTGCAGTGTTAAAAAACCCGCAAACCTTTACTTTTATTCATCTCGTTTGGGTCATTTTGTCCCTTTCAGTGACAGACACGCGCTCCTACACACTATTCGTTATTATCTGCCACTTTCTTCTGATGTTTTCCCCAGAAACCACAAAAAAAGTAGTCAGTCTTAAAAAAAATGTATGTACATATAATAAACAAATACACACGCAGAAGCTTTTTATTTCCCCTCTGATGACGCGCAGCTCCAGCCTCCTTTCTTTCTCCTCCACTGCGTCTGCATGATGTGAAATGCCGCGCGGCCTGTCTGCGCCGCCTGAGTGATCGCGCACATGTGGACCATCACTAACTTCATTTGAGAAAGGCCTTTTGTCTGAGTGTCCCCGCCTGCGAGCCGGTCCGACACATGCTATGCTCATGCCAGAGACACAGATTGTGTCTTCGTTGTTGTTGACTCATCGAATGCGCCTTTGCGCTCAGACAAGAATCGTCTCACCAAAAATATGCATTTCCCACTACAGATCCCTCATCCTCAGACTGATGTATTAATGTGATGCAACGTGCATATCACACCCCGCCTATAACTTGTCCAGGCCTCTCTACAAGTTTGAAGGCCCTGCAGCTTCTTGCACGCTTCACTTCATGGAAGGTCCGTTCCCTTCTTAAGTCGGCGCAGCCCGGTCTGTGTTCAACATCAACGAAGTGATGAGCACCTGCGGCCGCTTTTTACCTCACCCTCAGTGTCGTCTGCTATGTGCAAAGAGGATTGATTTCCTTCCATTGAAAAGTCACGTGTAAATCAGATGAAGTGTCATTCAAATGTAAGTGAAATATTCTGAGGTGCGCTTTACCTTGCTCCTCAGCCCTCCTCTTGGCCCGACTCCCCCCGAGACTCCCTCCTCTTTAACGGGCTCACATCAAAGGCTTGACCGGCCCCACTAAAAATCCGCCCGCTTTGTCTGCTGTTGCCTCGAGTGAGGAAGAGTGTTGGGGAGGAGGAGGAGGAGGAGGAGGAGGAGGAGGAGGACGGATGGCGTGGTAATGAGACTCGTTACGCAGCGCTAAAAAAAAAAGTCTCTGCAACTTTTCTCCCGTTTTGTTTTTTTTATTTGTATTTGGTCCCTCAAGCATCCGTCTGCCGTCGCGTCTCCCCCTGAACGTGTTCAACTTTTCTGCAGCACAATCTGCGTTCTCTGCTGTATTCCCTGTGATGGCAGCGTTATTATTTGCGCGTTGGTGCCAAAGGACAAACACCAACCTGTCTTTGATCGAATTGTTTAGAGCCGCACATATAGACTTCCACGTGAGTCGTGCTTGGCTTGTTTTGCGGTCCTTTGTTGTCCCTGAACGCACCAGACATGGCAGACTAATATTAAGTTTATGCGACCAACGCAGACAGGTTCAAAGGAGAGAAGAAACCCCAGAATTAACAGGAGCTCATAAAGTGTCTGCGGAGGTCTGGTCCCACGTGAACCTGCCTCTAGCTGCTAATTAGGCAGTGGGACGCTGAGCCCGCGACCAATGGATGGCGACGCTTCCACATTACGTCTCTAGATTGATTAAACACCATTGGTACCAGATTCTCACTCTATAAGAGGCACGCATTGTGTCCAGGCCGCTATCCGGTGCGCGCGTCTCATCCAGCTCTCTTTGTTCTGCCATGTTTACCTGGACCTAATCGATGGGTTCCTCCGTCCTCCGTCCAGCCGTGGCGTCATCATATCTCCACCTTTTCTTTGTAATACTCCGATGATGTTTCGGAGCAAAGTGGGGCGAAACACCAGGTTTGTTTTAGAGATTCTGGAACTTTCCGTGCGGTGCTTTGAGAACAGGGCGTGTCAGCTGGGGGGGGGGGGGGGGTCAGAGTTTGTCTAACCCAAAATTGAAAAGACCCCGTTTCTCTTTGAACCTTTAGGCGTATTGTGTTTCTCCCCAAAATTTCCCGCTCGCGGTTGCGCGGTTAATGGTGTGAAAAACACGACGGGAATTTTGGGCCCTAAACCCATTTTTTTCCATCAAAAAAAAACACCAAAAAAACACCAACGCCTTTGAGCTGCACCCCCCCTCTTGTCTCTCCCTCAGTCCTTTCATTCCCCCCTCCCTCTCTCTCCACCCTCTCTGTGCAGTTGAGCAGGTGGAGGCCGCGCACCTGCACACGCAGCTGCGCGCACCTTGTTATTGCTGCCGCTGCTTGACGCACAGATGAGCGCACAACAACACAAACCTCTCCGGCGCTGCCGCTCCCCGCCGCCGCAGCGTGTTCCACTTCTCTTTTCCCTTGTTTGTCCTCAGATTGCAGGAACCAACAACAAGCTCTCTTCCTGTGAATGAAGTCATATTTATCATCAATATCATTACAATTTAAAAAAAAACAAAAAACGGCAAACGCATCATCTGAAACATTTGGTTCTTTCAAATATTTTCCAGGCGGAAGGATGCTGTATAGAGGTGTGTGCGCGTGTGTGTGTGTGTGCGCGCGTGCGTGCGTGCCAGCCGTCTCGCCCTCTATCTGTTGTTTGTCATGCTCCGGACTTCAACATGACACCATCTAATCCAATTAAACACGATAACCCCGGACTCCCTGTTCTTCTCTTCCCCTTTTCCCCTTCAAGTTGCTGACAAGCGCACTTGGTTTTGTGTGAAAGGGAGTCAAGAGCCTCTCTTAATCCCGCGCGCGACCACGAGTGATTGAAAAGTGAAAGAAGCCCCTCATTGGTCCTCGAGCTTGGATGCTGTTTTCTTTGTCCGTGTTCCTCCGGCTTTTTGTTTAGTGCGGCCATCATGCATGTAGCCGTCCATTATTTTAAGTCTTTGAAAAAAAAATGAAAAAAGGGGGGGGTTGGGGTGTGGGTGATGGCAGTTTTACATTTGTATATCAGGAAAAAACTGAAACACAAGGAGACATAATCACAACTGAATTGGTCCTCTGGTTGTAATCCACGCGGCCTGCTAATTGGGGTTTATAGGAAACAATAATAAACCATTTTGTTCATTTAAAGTGCCTAATTAATCGTTTTAAAAAAAGGATTTAAGCAGATTAGTGACTGCGCGTGTTTAAAAATAAATAAAACGATTAATTCCCCAATTTGTATCTCCCCATCCCCGTTTCCCTCACTGAGTTATAGTAAAGAAAATGACCGAATAAAATAATAACACTTCACAATCAGACACTACTAAATGGATTTTTAACTTGTATTGTTTTAAGAATAATCAACATAATGCAAAAGTCCTTGTGGGTATAAAATGGAAAGTCCAGGCCGACATATGGAAGGTGCTACAAAATGACAGGTAATTGACATTAATCCGCTCTCTCTGAGACTCGGGGGGGGGGTTTAAAGTAAACGGGGACACGGTTAATGAAGCACCACTTGCCCTTTGAGTCTCGGCCACAGTTTGAAGCGGGGAAGTTTGGGGGAACTTCATTCGTTCAGCATATATTTCCTGGGTCCTCAAACATGATTAGCACACCGAGAGTAATGATGGTTGTTTTCGAAAAGGAACTGTTCCCATGTCACAGCGGATACAGTCACAATAATCAAAAACATCTGGAACCCAACTTTTATTTTAATTTTAAGTTATCCGTTTTTTTTGTTGACATCTCGAAGGCATCGTCAAAATGATTCGTTTCTCACTGGCTGTAATAATGCGCCGCTCCCAACGTTCC